AGGTACACAACATCACAAACCTTACCGCTGTCAACTGCCTAAACTATGCTGGAATAAAATTATAGCAAATTTGTTAAACATGAACTGCCATTAGTAAAAACTTGATGTGAATCATTTATTAACCTATATTTTTCAAGATGGAGACAAATGGTATTTTCCCACAATAGACGTTAACCTAATTGGCCGATAGTTTGACACAAGTGATCTATCTTCTTTCCTGAAATTTGGTTCCACATTAGCAATCTTCCATGACTCCGGCAATCTGCCTGACTCTAATGATTTATTTAATATAGTAGACAATGGCTCGCAAAGTTCCTCTTTGTATTTCTTTCACCTTGGCAAACACTTCGTCTGGCCCTGGGGCTTTGTTTGGCTTGAGTTTCACTATTTGTTTAATAACGTCCTTACTGGTAACTGTTAGACTAGTCAACCTCTCCTCTTCCCCACTCACATAGACTTCTTCGGCAGAAGGCATAATGTTCAGTTCCTCTATAGTAAATACAGAGACAAAATATTTATTAAAATACTACTCATCTCTTCGTCATTATCAGTTATCTGACCTGTCCCAGTTTTTAATGAACCTATCTTTTCCCCTAACCTTTGTTCGATATAACTGATAAAACTCTTTATGATTTGTCTTTGCTTGCCCTGCTATGCGAACTTCATAGTTTCTTTGTGCCCTCCCTATTTCCTTTTTTAACATTTCTAACTAGTTGGACGAATTCTTGTTCTAAACTGCCTTCCCCATTCTTAATCCATTTGTACCAAGCTCCCTTTCTACTTATACTTTTCTTCGGATCCTTTGTTATCCATTTCGGGCCATTATTATTCGATCAATTCAATTTGTAAGGTATAATACGTTCCTGTGCTTTTCTTAGAACATTTTTAAATAAGTTATATGTTGAATCCACATCGAAATCCATTTTTACGTCACACATTAGGTATGTATCTAACATATTAATATATCCATCCATCAATCCATCCATTTATCATCAATCCATACTCATCTATCTATCCATCCATCTATCTACTCATTCTTCTATCTTTCCACCTATAAAACTGTCGATCCATCTATCTATTTATTCATCTATCTGTTCATTTGCTTATCTAATCATCTATAAAACTATAGATCTACCTCTCCCTCTATCTCTCCATCCATCTACTCATCCGTGTATCATTCCAATCGTGTCTATCTTCCCATTAATCATAAATCTATTTATCTGTCTATCAATTTATCCATCTTTCTATCCATTGATCTATCTTTTTATCCATTTATCCATCTATCTATTCATTTATTCATCTGTCTATCCATTTATCCATCTATCAATCAATTTATTGATCTATCTACTCTCAGTCCCCCTTTGTCTCTGTTTCAGTCTGTGCCTCTGTTTCTCTTTATCTTTCTGTTTCTGGCTGCCTGTTTTTCTCTGTCTTTCTCTTATAATAGATATTACTGTTTACCATTAGTGTTTGTGTGATCGCCAGTGAGAGGAGCTTAGCAGCGTGTAATACCGAAGGATTGAATAGCTACCCCATTTACTCGGAGGCAAGGCTTGAGAAACCTGTGCAGGTGTGGCAGGATTGTCTGTTTTATGCGAGTATGGGCATATTATTGATAGTAAAATATTGTTGTTAATTTTCCCCTAGATCAGTGAATAAAAATGTATTACATTAGGAATTGTTGTTAATATTTTGTTGTGTAGCAGGCGGGCAGTGTCACAAATCATCGTGGGGGTCAGAATGTGACCCTGGTAAGCTGTTCTGCTTCATAATTCTGGTGACCCTGACCAGCCTATGTTCATCCCGTACCCAAGACCATTCCCCCAGCCAATTTAGCAGATACAAAACTCCCGCGCCTGGCATCTAACTTTTAACAGACAGATAGTCTCTTTTATAGGTATAGATTTGTTATACCTGCCAGCATAAGTTGCCTAACAAGCTCAATTTTCCTACATATTAAATTTTTGAAACATTTTCATAATGGAGTTATAAAGGGGCAGGATATCTATTATAAATATATTGTTAATGTAATGTTTAATAATTATCACTTGAACATTCCAATGATGCTGGAGAGGAACATCTGTCCTCAGATACTTAACTTTCCAATGAAGAATAAGAAAAGTGTCATTCATCTCCAAATTACTGAAAATAATGTTTTTTCATATTTTTTTATTTATACAATTTTTGGAGTACATTGTATGAATAGCTTATCAGAGACCAGCCGAAGTATCAGGGGACCATCAATTGGTCAATTATTTACAACTCAAAATGATAATTACCTTCTCGTGAATATTTTCACTATTATGTTTCAAATTACCTGCTGGAAAAGTACGAAAGTTATGATTGTTTTCTATTCACTCTCATAAAGACTGATAATGTGTGTACATTTCAATGATTTTGATATATGTTGAAAAATATATAAGAAATATATACATTTTCATAAAAAATTGTGTAATCAGCATCGTCGAACGTCTATTATAAACAATAAATTTATATGGCATTTATACTCCAGCAAATGAATTTATAAACATAGTAATGCTAGTTATAACTAAAACGTAACTGAGAGATATAAAAAAAGTATAAGCATTTTAGGCGCAGCTTAGCAGAACCCTGAGGTAAGCCAGAAGCTTATGGTCAGGATGCTGCAGCGGTCCGATCCAACGGGTCAGAACGTTCTTGTTAAATTTACACCAGTAACACCATCGCTCGTCTTAAGGCTTCTATGATAATACTAGCTGTACCCTGTCATGCGTTGTTGTGGCTCATCAACGCATGTGCGTTGCTGAGCCACAGCAACCTTCCCATCCCCCAGTCCTCCCTACTATTCCCCCTTCCCTCGTTCTCTCAACCCTTCCCTAATACCTCGTCCTCCCTACCATTCCCCCCTCCCTGTCCCCTTGTCCTCCCCACCATCCTCCACTCCACTGTCCCCTTGTCCTCCCCACCATCTCCCACTCCCTCATGCTCCCTACTATTTCCCACTCCTTTGTCTCTTTTTCTTCCCCCACCATCCCCCACTCCCCTGTCCCCTTGTCCTCCCCCACTATTTTCCCTCCCCGCGTCTCCACCATCCCCATCCCCTTGTCCTCCCCATCATTACCCCCTCCCCTGTTCCCTCGTCCTCCCCACCATCCCCCACTCCCGTCCCCTCGTCCTACCCCACCATTCTCTACTCCTCCCCACAATTCTCCACTCCCTCGTCCGATGCATTCCAAAATGATCTGAAGTTCCCATCAGAAAATTGGGAGCATCAAATGATCTGATATTCCCATCACTGAAAAATAAGAACAGTTAAAAAAAACGAAATGAAAAACGATAAAAAATAAACTATACTAACAAAATGAACGGTATGGTAAACAACACAGCTCAATTCCAATGCAATGTCACCCAAAATAATTAAATCAAAATGAACATAAATCAAAGTCCATGAAAATTCAATTAACAAAGCAATTGGAAACATTGAAATGGAATCGTAACATATATCTTATAGCATGTGAGTTGCTCTTAAGAGCAACAGATGGCAGTGTTTAAAAAAAACATGTTTTTACCGGTCACAGGTGTGGCATCTATATAATAGGTACATAAAAACACTTGTGTGTTCGAATAGAACGTTTTGTCAAAATTTCAAAGCAATTTGTTAAGGACTTTCGGAGATTACAGCATGTGTTGCTCTTACGTCCAACAGATGGCACTGTTTAAAAAAAAAACATGTTTTTTCCTGTAACAGAGAGGTTTTTTCCTGTAACATGTATATAGTAGGTATAAACAAACATTCGCCTATTCAAATGCAAAGCAACGTTGTGTCAAAATTTCAAATCAATCAGTAGAGAGGTTCGAAGATTTTCCTTACATGAAAAACATATAAAAAACACAGTTAAAAAAACACGCTTTTCCCATCAGAGATTTGACATCTATATAGCATGTATATAAAAATTTGCTCGAATGCGAATGGAATGTAGTGTCAAAATTTCAAAGCAATCGGTGAAGAACTATCGGAGATTAGCGATTTTGAACAAACGAGCATACACATTTTTATTTATATAGATAGCGCATGTTGCTCTTACATGCAACAGATGGCGCTGCGTTTCAAAAAGAGCATGGTTTTACCTATCACAGGTGTGGCATCTATACTTATTCCTGCGAAATGAACGGTATGGTAAACAATACAGCTCAATTCCAACGCAATGTCACACAAACTAATTAAATCAAAATGAAAAAAAACAAATCTATGAAAATTTAATTGATCAGTGTAATCGGAAACATTGAAATGGAATCGTAACATATATAGTATAGTGTGTGTGTGTTGCTGTTACGTGCAACAAATGGAGCTGTATAAAAAAAATGTCTTAAGTGTCACAGGTGTGCATCTATATAGTATATAAAAACACGTGTGTATTCGAATGAAACGTTGTGTCAAAATTTCAAAGCAATCGGTGAAGAACTTTTTGAGATTACAGCATATGTTGCTCTTACGTTCAACAGATGGCACTGTTTTTTTAAATGTTTTTTCCTGTCATAGGTGAGGCATGTATATAATAGGTATATAAAAACACGCTCCTATTCGAATGCAACGTTGTGTCAAAATTTCAAATTGGTAATTGCAATCGGTAAAAAGGTTTCGAAGATTTCCCTTACATGAAAAACACGTGAAAAACAGTTTAAAAAAAAAAGCATGTTTTTTCCCCTTCACAGAGGTGATATTTATATAGAATTTATATAAAACCCCACTCGGATGCAAATGGAATGTTGTGTCAAAATTTCAAAACAATCGGTGAAGAACTTTCGGAGATTAGCGATTTTGAACAAACGAACATTTCCATTTTTATTTATATAAAAGATAATATAATTTTTTTTTGCAAAATTGAATTGTATTGCAAGCATGTTTATCTGTCTAATTAATTTTTTATCATCAACAACATAATTATATGTTGACAGCTTCCACCAGTTTTCCTTTGTCGTCTTAAATCGTGTATAATAACAACGATTTTTTCTGTTAACAGGTTGGACACCTCTACATCTGGCAGCCCATCAAGGTCACTACGACCTGATGAAGAGCCTCATCCACGCCGGAGCATACATCAATGCACAAAATAGGAAAAACGACACACCTTTACATGTTGGTGTTCAGGCAGGACACAGTCAGGTGGTGGAGGTGCTCCTCTTGTACAACGTGGACCTCAATGCTTCCAATTATTTAGGTAATTAAAACATGTATGATGTAAAACATTTAATACTGTGTCTGTACTCGAGCACTGTCCAGTAGGAATGACCATCCCCCACACAACCGTTTCACACATCAGATATTAGAGACCTGGATATAATCCAATTGTCAGAGCGTATTCAAACTGAAACCTAGTAGGGTAACGCGTAACATAAGCTATGGGAAACCAAAGCTCTAATTCTCAGAACAGTTTTCAGAAATCGACTGCTCCTGCAGTCATACTTGTGTATACATCGTCCTGTAAACCTGTGTATACATCAAGTGTTGAGAGTGCCGTAGTCTTTACACGCCTCTTCCTGCTTTCTAGAGTCATACATACACACATGTAAACACGCTATAGGTCCCTAGGTAACTTTTAGAAATTATTAGATAAGAAAGGATGTGTATTTGAAGTAATTTGAAGTGTTGGCCAGACTGTATGATTTCAAATATGGTGACTGGTTTTGTCATATTTCCAGCAGAGATTTTGCATCAACCAGGGCAGGACATAGCTCAGGGGTCCCGGATGTAGGTATATGACATGATTGGTTAAGTTTTGTATCGGCCCACCAACCGGAGCATTACCTGAGGACATGTGACTTATGAGGTGGAGCTGTCAGGCTGCTCATTGCCACATGAGCAATAAATGAACAGATTGTTGGATGAGTGTGGCCTTACTGTAGTACATTCCTTATTGGATAAATATTTGACACTCTGCAACGAAGCCAAACCTAAAGGGAAAAGTCTGAAAACTTGTATTATAGAAGACTGTCCAAAGAAGGAACTTCAAGACGTTCCACATTGCCGACATTTAGTGCCTTGCCAGAGACGGATTTTGCTTGGTGAATTAAGACACGTCTCGAAGCTTGCCAGTGGTTGAGGGATCACATTTACCTGCATGCAGGCTGTAAGGAACTCCAGAGAAGAAAAGTGAAGAAAATATATGTTATTCTCACCAGGAAGCCTTAGGCTCACAATTAATATTTAATGGCCAGTCTTGGTCAAATGAGGATTGGTTATGGAAGTAAAGGAGTGCCAAGAAAGAGCAGTTCTGATACTTCATTGACATTGTAACGAAAGTATTATAAGTGGTAACCAGTGATTAGGGATTAAAAAGACGCCTTAACCCACTACACCACTAAGGCGTACTAGTTATGGCAGCTACTGGAAGGTAGTTGTGCTTTCTGGGTTCGAGGCCCACTGGTGGGTGTTGTCCAAAGATTGTTAATCTTCACTTGTGGTTTAAGCAAGTATGGGCTTATAGCATGGACACGAGTTCTCCCACATTAACAGTGGCTTGATGAAAAACGTATAGTAACCTCTCACTTGTCTAGTGCCCTTGGAAAGTGGGGATATTTGAGATGTATATATACCTCGAAGTCTCTACTTCTTTTAAGGGTCTGATGGTGTAGTGGGTTAAGGCGCACTAGTTATGGCAGCTACTGGAAGGTAGTTGTGCTTTCTGGGTTCGAGGCCCACTGGTGGGTGTTGTCCAAAGATTATATATATATATATATATATATATATATATATATATATATATATATATATATATATATATATATCGTACCTAGTAGCCAGAATGCAATTCTCAGCCTACTATGCATGGCCCGATTTGCCTAATAAGCCAAATTGTCATGAATTAATTGTTTTTCGACTACCTAACCTAACCTAACCTAACCAAATTTTTTCGGCTACCTAGCCTAACCTAACCTATATAGATAGGTTAGGTTAGGTTAGGTAGGGTTGGTTAGGTTCGGTCATATATCTACGTTAATTTTAACTCCAATAACAAAAAAATTACCTCATACATAATTAAATGGGTAGCTTTTTCAATTCATAAGAAAAAAATTAGAGAAAATATATTAATTCAGAAAAACTTGGCTTATTAGGCAAATCGGGCCTTGCATAGTAGGCCGAGTACAACGTTCTGGCTACTAGGTACAACACACACATATATATATATATATATATATATATATATATATATATATATATATATATATATATATATGTCGTACCTAGTAGCCAGAACTCACTTCTCAGCCTACTATTCAAGGCCCGATTTGCCTAATAAGCCAAGTTTTCATGAATTAATATATTTACTATAATTTTTTTCTTATGAAATGATAAAGCAACCCTTTTCTCCATGTATGAGGTCAATTTTTTTTTATTGTAGTTAAAATTAACGTAGATATATGACCGAACCTAACCAACCCTACCTAACCTAACCTAACCTGTATTTATAGGTAAGGTTAGGTTAGGTAGCCAAAAAAAGCTAGGTTAGGTTAGGTTAGGTAGGTTAGGTAGACGAAAAAACATTAATTCATGAAAACTTGGCTTATTAGGCAAATTGGGCCTTGAATAGTAGGCTGAGAAGTGCGTTCTGGCTACTAGGTACGACATATATATATATATATATATATATATATATATATATATATGTACCTAGTAACCAGAACGCACCTTTCAGCCTACTAAGCAAGGCCCAATTTGCCTAATAAGCCAAGTTTTCCTGAATTAATATATGTTCTCTAATTTTTTTCTTATGAAATGATAAAGCTACCCATTTCATTATGTATGAGGTCAATTTTATTTTATTGGAGTTAAAATTAACGTAGATATATGACCGAACCTAACCAACCCTACCTAACCTAACCTAACCTATCTTTATAGATTAGGTTAGGTTAGGTAGCCGAAAAAGTTAGGTTAGGTTAGGTTAGGTAGGTTAGGTAGTCGAAAAAACATTAATTCATGAAAACTTGGCTTATTAGGCAAATTGGGCCTTGCATAGTAGGCTGAGAAGTGCGTTCTGGCTACTAGGTACGACATATATATATATATATATATATATATATATATATATATATATATATATATATATATATATATATATATATATATATATATATATATATATATATATGTCGTACCTAGTAGCCAGAACGCACTTCTCAGCCTACTATTCAAGGCCCGATTTGCTTAATAAGCCAAGTTTTCAAGAATTAATGTTTTTTCGTCTACCTAACCTACCTAACCTAACCTAACCTAGCTTTTTTGGCTACCTAACCTAACCTTACCTATAAATATAGGTTAGGTTAGGTTAGGTAGGGTTGGTTAGGTTCGGTCATATATCTACGTTAATTTTAACTCCAATAAAAAAAAATTGACCTCATACATAGAGAAAAGGGTTGCTTTATCATTTCATAAGAAAAAAATTATAGTAAATATATTAATTCAGGAAAACTTGGCTTATTAGGCAAATCGGGCCTTGAATAGTAGGCTGAGAAGTGAGTTCTGGCTACTAGGTACGACATATATATATATATATATATATATATATATATATATATATATATATATATATATATATATATATATATATATATATATATATATATATGTCGTACCTAGTAGCCAGAACGCACTTCTCAGCCTACTTTGCAAGGCCCGATTTGCCTAATAAGCCAAGTTTTCATGAATTAATTGTTTTTCGACTACCTAACCTACCTAACCTAACCTAACCTAACCTAACTTTTTCGGCTACGTAACCTAACCTAACCTATAAAGATAGGTTAGGTTAGGTTAGGTAGGGTTGGTTAGGTTCGGTCATATATATACGTTAATTTTAACTCCAATAAAAAAAAATTGACCTCATACATAATGAAATGGGTAGCTTTATCATTTCATAAGAAAAAAAATAGAGAAAATATATTAATTCAGGAAAACTTGGCTTATTAGGCAAATCGGGCCATGCATAGTAGGCTGAGAAGTGCGTTCTGGCTACTAGGTACGACATATATATATATATATATATATATATATATATATATATATATATATATATATATATATATATATATATATATATATATATATATATATATATATATATATATATATATATTGACTGAAAACTGAAACACCCCAGAAGTGACTCGAACCCATACTGCCAGGAGCAACGCAACTGATATCTACAGGATGCCTTAATCCGCATGACCATCACGACTGGACATAAGGAAGTGATAGCCGAAGCTATTTAAACCACTTCCCCGCCGGCAATCGGATGGTAATCTTGGGCATACCATTTTATCAAATCACCTCATTCTTTGGGGCACACGTGAGGAACACAAATGCGAACAAGCCTGAATGGTCCCCAGGACTATATGCGACTGAAAACTCACACCCCAGAAGTGTCTGACCTCTGACAAGGTCTTCCAGCGCATTATTAGTCTTCACGCTAGTTAGCTCCCACGTTGACGGACACTATGTACATCTCTCTGACGAGGTCTTCCAGTGCATCATTAGCCCTCACACTAGGTATCATCCATGGTAAAGTTCTCAAGCGCCCCACTAGCCCTCTTGCTAGCACTCTCACACAGTGAAGTCTTCAAGCGCCCCACTAGCCCTCTTGCTAGCACTCTCACACAGTGAAGTCTTCAAGCGCACCACCAGCCCTCTTCCTAGCACTCTCACACAGTGAAGTCTTCTAGCACCCCACTAGCCCTCTTGCTAGCACTCTCACACAGTGAAGTCATCGCGCCCCACTAGCCCTCTTGCTAGCACTCTCACACAGCGAAGTTTTCAAGCGCCCCACTAGCCTTCTCGCTAGAATGTTCCGAAGAGGAAGTTTTGCAGCGCTCCACTAGCATCCTCAAGCAGAAACGTTCCAAAGTCGACCTGTGCACTGCTTCACTCTAGCTGCCACTGTGCCATCTACCACCAGTCACCGGTATCTCATCACTTCCCTGAACGACAGACTAGAAGTCGTTCTAGACTACTGGAAATATCAAAGGGAGAATTTTGATTTATGAAGTTATGTGTAGTTTGTGTTACTTTAATAGGGACCCATTTTACAGATCAGATTAAGAAGTAATGTGTGACCCAATGAATGCCAATGTGTGTTTTTAAGAAAAGATTCAGTTTCATATATGATTCATTGATCCAGAGAGAGTGAATGGCGAGTTGTAAGGAATAGACTGTATATTTAAACCTTAGAATTGACACGTGTTTTCCTTGAGATTATGATTATGAACTAATAATGTGTTTAAGTACTCCGATAGCCTCGGATAGGTTGGCCTCGTAGCCTGGTGGATAGCGCGCAGG